CTTCAACCAGTCATCAAAAATTCTGAAAATTTTACACATTGTCAATCTAGTGATCATCTTTTGAATGGTAACAGTTTGATTTGACAAAAACAATTATAAAAAAATAAATTTAAATAATTTTCGCATTAAATTTTTGTCAATCGGTGACCTTATCATAAAGGACCGTGTTTTATACAGAATGTTTTCAATAATTGGTTTAAGAGAAAATCAGTGTTCAGTTCGCCATATCGATACCAATCCGTTAATAACACATATATTGTGGCGTTTTAGCCCATAAAATTATACAAGTTAATTGAAATAGTCCTTTATAAATATAACTGCATGAAGATAATGTTCACTGTCGCTGTCTTCCAGAACAATTAAATTCTAATCAGGTGTAGATCAATCACAAAATAGTCTCTCAATCAAGGTTCTTTGTTGGAATTCTGTAAGTTGCTCTTCTCTCACAAATACAATAAGTCTGGTGAATTCTACAAATGTTGAAAATCATTCAAGTTCCACAATATTAAGTTCTACGATGGTCGAAAATAGCTAAGCTCTACGATGGTTGAAAATAGCTAAGTCCCACGATGACTCCAAAATGATTTAATCGCTAAGTCGTAAGTCCCCAGTGTCAAATCATCAAAGCCTCGCAATGACTTCAAAAATAGTTCCACGATGAACTTGACTCCCAGGTTGACTGGCAATTTGTCAAAGTTCCCTGATGACCTATAGATTGATGTCCAATACTCAAAATTTTCCAGTAGCTCCAAAATAGTTTCACGCACTTAGTTTTATTATCTTCTATTGTATACTGCAAACGTATAGCTAAATTATCAACTGAATCCCACAAGTAGTTAGTTCAGCTCATCAGATGTATCCTCCAAACAGTTAGCATCTATTTCAGTGTATATACTCCAAACGTATATCTTCGTCATACAAAAATCAGCTTCTCGATGAACTTAGTTTTACACAATCCTGTCTCCAAGAGGCACGAGGTCCATCCTTCTTCAGTTCAATGTAGAAAGTGCCTGGCTAGATCACCCGACGTCTGTATTTATACTCCACAGTCACGTGAGGATGATGCAATATCCTGTTCATCACATAGACCCTGGACATCTGGCTATTATATTTCAGTGCAGACGAACTGAAACTTCACCTTGATCCCGCTATTGGTTCAGTGTAAAATGCAACATTTCTACATTTTTATTATATAACAAACAAGATTATGTCAAAAGCTAAATGCATATAACACACTGGTGATCCTCTCGATTACGCTGGTTACCGAAACGGTTCGTTTTGGTAACAAAATGTCGGAACGTCGAAGGTACGATTTTTCTTTTTTCCTTATTTCACGCGTTGTAGGCAGAATCCCCACGACGTTTTTTCTCACAAACGTATATCAGTATCAGTGTATCATATGTTTTAGAAAATGTACATGTTTGCGAAAAAATAGCTCAAAAGACAACAGAATCGTCGATTTAATTCCTCACTTAAGTGACATAAACGGTTTGGGTTAAAAGTGCAGATCTTAACTGTTTTTCGAAAAACCGTTTATGTAACTTAAGTGAGGAATTAAATCGACGATTCTGTTATCTTCTGAACTATTTGTTCGCAAATATGTACATTTTCTTAAACATATGATACAGATCTGTACAGATAAAAATGTCGTGGAAAATCGTACCTTCGATGTTCCGACATTTTGTTACCAAAACGAACCGTTTTGGTAACCAGCGTAATCGAGTGGATCACCAGTGTAACAATAATCTTGCTTAATAACAATGCTTTTAAAGAGTAAAAGTTTGTAACATAACGGGTAAATTCAATGATTTGCAAAGCGTCGCAATGTCTGTAAAAACATCAAATAATGATAACTAACAATATATACACAAATTAACTCTCAATACCTCTGGAAAAACAGGCTAGTTTTACACCAAGTTTACTAATACTAACTATAAACTATCAAATTCGAATAAATATGAACGCTAACTAACCTGTAATTAACCAAAATATCTAGTGTTTTCGAAGTATTGAATTCCGGGAAGACCCTGTATGGAAAACTAAATAACGAATGGAAAACACTTAAAAAATATCTCATATGGCTGACTTCACAAAATAATCAACATGTTTACAATAAAATAATCTATGCTGTGCGTGTTGTTTTTGGAGCACCTGTATGTGAAGCATCCTCAGCAGATCGTCTTGGCTTTTCAGAAATCTTTCTGTTCTGTACCATCTGTAGACATTGCTCAGTCCATTTTCATCACGAAATGACTTTTTTAGCATCTCATACGTTTTTTGCAATGACATTTCATTCAAAATACATTATTATAATGATATATATCAGTTCTTTCTGTCTTCTATGGAGATCTGAAATATTCAATTCAACCATTTTCCAGTATTGCTGATTTCCTCAATACCTGTGACTTCTGTCATCCTATCGTTTGGGAATCGACATGTACAATGACAAACCTAATGTCACGCCCGGTGATCGTACAAAATGGATGGAGGGGGAGTAGGCGATTTCTGCAAGAAAACTCAACAAATTTGGAAGATTTATTTTTTCAAGAGAAAATTTACAACTGAATTGCCAAATAAATAGGCGCAGTGCATGGCAAAATATGTTAGGTCTTCTAGTATTTTTTTTTTTTGAACTGATACGCTTCTAAGATATGAGATCTATTAAAAAAGGCGCATCATCACCAACGTGCAAAAGTCAATGTTTTTGCTATAAATCAACAATGGTCTACATGGACCTGTAATAAATAGGTATAAGGGACGTTATTATCACAACACAAATGACATTGCTCATTTTTTAAAGTTTGTTTCCATGCGTTATACAAAGAATAATCGAAATAAATTATATATATTTATTTCAAATTATATTGTTACCATTCAAACGATGACCATTAAATTGACAATGTGTAAAATTTTCAGAATTTTTTGATGGATGGTTTAAAGAGAAACGTGTGTTCAAAAAGTTCACCATATCGATACCCATCCTTTAAAAAAGAAAGTTTTCTAATTTATTTACATTTTTAATGATTTTGGTGTCAAAGTATACCTCCGCAGAATATACGATATCTCTTTTCCAATTTTCCAAGCTGTTGATGCTATGCAAGCATACTAATCTGTCTTCCATTGTATACTCTATCTACACATAAAAAACACGAAGATTTCTTCATTATTGAGAAAGTTATTCCAAAATAAGTGGGTGGCATTTTTTGTGTCTGAAGTGCCTGAAAGTCCCAAAAAGTGGGCCTTTTTGGTCATAATTGGGCCTTTTAATGCCTTATTTTTTAATTTCAGGCCAAATTTTGTAGAAAATTGGCCTCAAAATTTGAAAATTTTGGATTACTATTGGGTTTTAGGGGCCCTAAATGTTTTTTCTCTGACCGGAAATTTGTCATATACCTTGCAAGCTTGTCATATCACGTGGCGTGACTTTGTACAATATGTGGTCAACATTTGTGAAACATACTGAGGTTTTTATTTAGTATATATTCATTACAATATTTCCTTTTTGTTTATTTATTGTAATTGCTAAATTGTACAAGGATAAGTTATATTGTTCAAGATAATTATAATTTTCTTGTATTCGGTGTTCACTTATATTGCGTATTATTCTTAGCATCCATTGGTTATCTGTACCAGTTTAGGGAACTAGTTGAAAATATTATATTTCGTATATTCTAGAAACGTGCGTCTTAGATAGGTTTATTATCCATTTTTATAGTTTTGGTGTAGTATGTAGCTGTCAACGAGAAATGTATCTGCGTATGCGCACAGACTGTCTCCTTGTATTGTCTCGTGCGTCTATAAACTGTGTCTGAGTTGTATCAGTGTAATATTGGACTAGTGTAAGATGTCTACCAACACGTCCAGCCTGTATCCTCACGTGGTGAACGTGATATTAGACTCTCGTTAATTCACGTGCAATGCATTATCTACTATAACGTCTGTCTACGTACGGCATAAAACCAAGTGACTATTATCACATTCATAGACTCTTATCCAGTAACGTCGACGTGAATATAAATCGACTCGAGTAAGAAGTCTACCAACACGTCCAGCTAGTATCTTCACGTGGTGAACGTGATATTAGACTCTCGATAGTTCACGTGTATTGTATCATCTACCATAACGTCCGTCTACGTACAGCATAAGCCCAGTAACCTTCCACGTATCCAGTGTGCTCGTTTTGCAGCATCAGCCGTCCAGTTTTATGTGTAGTATTAGTGTACCTTGTCTATTTTTGTAATTAATGATTTGTGATTATAAATACAATATAGTAATTTGTTTAATGAAATCAAACACTTAAGTTCATTTATTAGTTTTATTGAACCTGACAACTTGACATGTACAAATCATCATTCTCATTTGGAAAGTAAATAATTCAATATTATATCGTGATATCATTGTCATTATATCAGAGCTAAGTGCAATTTTATCATTCTCGTCTCAAACGGAATCATTCCAAACGTTCTTAACAACATGCATCAGCGAGCAATTTTGAAGGTAAGGAAGTAAAATATTTGTCTAAAATATACATCCATTCTGATACATTTACTTTAACTTTTACTTTTGAGAGAATTCAAAGATGGCTGAAAGGTTTAACTTTTATGGCACGAGCAGAAGTGGTGACACATTGTTATAGTCTCTAACTGTTCGGTCGACTGCGTCTGTAACAATGGCAATAATTTCATAAATACCTGATAATCTGGCTCCCCGAGCTTATTGTGTTATCTAATTAATCAAGCGTGTTAACAGCTAATTGCATAATTTGAATCAACGATACTTTATATTGTTCTAGTGTGTTTTAATTCTTGTGGCAACATCTACGGTTTGCTGCATCCCATTGTGAGTAAAATGTTTTAAATTTACAAATCTGAACTATAGCAATATGAACAACAAATCATTTCAATATGATTTTCCTCACGTAGGATCCTTACTATACATTTTGGTATTCTTACACTTGGGCCGTTGATTACACGCACATTTGTTTATCTTATAGCTGTGCCATGTATGACAAGGAGGCATATGACGGATGTGAAATGGAGACAACAGCTGAAGGCTGTATGAATGTGAAATCATGCCCGAAAGGTTATACATTAAAATAAAATCATGTTGGCCATACTATCAATTGCTTAATTGGGTCATTGGGAGTAAAGCTTAATGGGTCATTGAAATATTAATAATTTGGTCATTGAAAGTATGGCCCATTGCGTCATTGAAACTCTGGCAAATTAGGTAATTGAGAGTAAGGACAAATGGGTCATTGACACTTTCGCTAATTATTTCAAAGCAAGTATGACCAAATGGATCATGCAAAGTATGGAAATACTTGGTCATTGAAAGTATGGCAATTGAAAATATGCCAAATGGGTCATTGAAAATATGCTAAATGGGTGGTTGAAAGTAACCCCAATCAGTCTTTGAAAATATGCCTAAATGGGTCATTAAAAGTATGGCCCTTGTGCTCATTGAAAGTATGGCCAAGTGGGTCGTTGAAAGTATGGCAAAATGGGTCATTTAAAGGATGGACATATAGGTCATCAAAAGTATGATCAAATGGGTCATTTAAAGTATGGTCAAGCGGACTGTTGAAAGTATGGCCAAATGGGTCATTGAAAGTGTTTGAAAGTAAGGACAAATGAGTTATTATAGTATAACTAAAAGGGTCATTGAAGTTTCAAAATTTGGCAACTGTATCATTGGAAGCATGACCAAAATGGTGTTTAAAAGAATGACTAGTCAGAACATTGAAAATATGGTCAAGCTAGTCATTGAAAGTGTGACTAAACGGGCCATTGATCGTAACTAAGGCTAATATTGTAATTGTAATCAAAGTATGACTTGCTAGATCATTAAAAGTAATGCCAATTATATCATTGATAGTATGACCAAATGAGTCATTGAAAGTATGACCAAATTAAGGATCGTTGAGAGTATGGCCAAAAGGGTCGTTGAAAGTATATTAACCAATCGGTCATTAAAGGCAAGGCGAAATGGATCATTGACTGCTTTAACCAAATTGAAGGAAATGAACAGTGTGGTCATTGAAATAAGTAAGGCCGATATTATCTCAGTCAGGGTGTGGTTAGTTAGGTTTCTGAATTAAGGGTAATTATGTCTTTGAAAATATTCTCAATTTTGGCCGAAAAAGTATGACCTCCCCAGCTCATTAAGGTCATTTATTCATATAAACGAGGCTGTGCTATTTAATGATTTCTGTTTAAGGTTGCCTCGTGAAAGCCACTGCACCTTCTGGTAAAGATAAATATATGAAAGTTGGACGAAAATGGAAAGAATTGGGGAATAAGATAACGTGTACGTGTGAACTCCAGAGTGATCTCCCAACTCCACTTCCAGGCGCATTACCCTATCCTCCAAGGGCTAAATGTATCCTTAAGAAAGGTATTGATGTTTAAAGCTCAATAATCTGCTTAATGCGCTGAATGAAATTGAAAACGTTATTTCGAAGAGCAGTAATTATACTATTTAATACACAAACCTAGCATTACGTGACTTGTTTTTCTTAAATGTAATGTCGGTAACACAACCACAATGCACAATTTATTATACGAGATCACTAGGGTGTTTCATTTTTCAAGAATGGTCTTAGATCATAACGGCCCTTTAACATGGGGTTACAAATGGTGCTGGTAGTTCACTGATTTTTTTTCAACAAAATCGGATAACGTTAAAACTGGTCCGTCGGCCATTCTTTCCGTCTCATTGGATTACATTGTGGGCGACGCCCACCTTTCAATGGAAAACATTATTTCGCACTTCTTTGCTTATCATTTGCCGGAAATGATTGGAAAATGTTTTCTTGTTACAAGCATATTTGGATATATATCAAAACACTTTCAATAGATGTAAACTAGATTGTTCTAGCACTTTTTGTCGCGGAGATATTGTCAGTCTACTAACCTGTAGTCTACTGGGGGAGGGGGTCAAAAATAAAAATTGATGTTTTCCATTGAAAAGTGGGCGTCGCTCACAATGCAATTCAATGGGACGGAAAGAATGGCCTACGGACCAGTTTTAACGTTATCCGATTTTGTTGAAAAAAACTACCAGCACCATCTGTAACCCCGTATTAAAGGGCCGTTGTAATCTGAGAACATTCTTGAAAAATGAAACACCCTAGAGAACACCAATAATTTTATAAATAGTCCATTAAATATTTTTTGTTTTTTTCGATTAATGTATTAATTGATTCAGGTTGTAGGCTTCCTCCTGATAATGATACGTATTTACATGTGAAGCAATCTGCCGTGGTAAATGGGGACAGTTGCAAATGTGTGAAAGGTCCAGAAACATCAGACCCCTATCTGAAAACATACTGGCACCTGGAGTGTGAAAGTAAGTTAGCATGTCCACTTGCAACCTCCCCATTACTCACTCATCTCACCTTCTCACTCACTCACCGACCTACCTCACTTACAGATTTCACCCCAGCTACACACTCAACTAAGCTTATAATCGCGAATGCAACTAACGCCTGTCGGTTACCGGATTAACCTACTTTTTATGGGCAACTCAATTAAATATGAAATATGCCTGCCAATATATTCTATTCATAATTAATTGAGTTGGTATTAAAATAGTAAGTTAATCTGGTAGCCGATCTTAATCTGGCAGGCGTTAGTTGCATTCGCGAATACAAAGCTAACTTGCATTTGCTAAATGTAATTTTCGACTGTCGGCTACCGGATCATATATAACCTATCATTTTATGACAAACTCATTTAAATATAAATGGAATAGTTACAGGTATTATTTTTTAAATGAGTTGCCCCCCAAAAATAGTAGATTATTAGCCCAAAGTTGCATTCGCAAATACAAGCTTACACAATATGAATGTACCTCATTTATTCATCGCACTGCTGATACTAGCTGTCTTAAATCACTCATACATTGCAGCACCAATATATGCTCGATGCGATATAATTTCCAATCCTGCTGGAGCCCCCTACAACTTGTCGGGAGCCGTTCACTTCAAGCAAATCCCAAATGAAAGCACACAAATTAAATATGATATTTTGGGCTTTGACACGACTGATAATGTTACAAAACACGGATTGCATGTTCACGTTTACGGTGATATCGTAGATGGATGTCAAAATGCATGGGGTCACTTCAATCCTATGAAAACGACACACGGTAATAGGCTAAACGATCCAAAAGATAGGTACTTGTTTGTCATATCATTTTTTAATCAAATCAAGTGTATAATACGAGGGGCGATCCTGTCTTGGACGCCCCGCTCTGCTAGTTTAATGACATTACAAGAAACTTTCAAATAATAAAGATAATACAGATAATAATATAATTGCTAGGGTCATACTCAGACATGGAACAGGTGAGGCATGCAACTGCCTACCAATATGTTGACGATCCTTTTAATTCAACTATGAGAATAAAATCCAATGATCAATCACGCGCGGCGAATCATAACGCCTGCAAAACTACGTTTAATTTCTAATGTCTCAAAACCCAACTTACCTTTATACCTTATCCTTCTTCTGAGAGCCTAAAAAATATATAAATTTCGTATCACAATTAATGAAGAATTAGTGTGCGCCAAAACTCCAGAAAATCCCATAAACTGATGTTGAGGTAGGTTACTATCAAGTGACCCATAGTCATTATAGATTGGTTCATTGACTATTCATTTTTACTTGTCTGCAGTAAAAAAGGTGACACGAAAGGGCTTAACGGCTTGCCCCAAGGATCGACCATCAAAAAGATGAGTTTGAAAAAATCACTTTTTTCAAATAATAGCAGCGAGTATACGAAATAGGAGGAAACTTTAATATTGATATGTTTGAAACTCTATTTGTGTGTGGTCATTTTTATTAAAAACAATAATGGTGAAGAATTATATATTTCTGACCTTAAAACGCCATTTTAATGCAAAAGTCACCATTGTTAACAATAATATTCATATTTTACCTGTTCAATGTTTTTTAAGTATTACAATTACCATTATATTAGTTTTTGGCAAAGTAAATAATCATAGGGCTCAGACAAGGATCAACTTTATTTACAACTTTTTCATATCTAGTGATGTTTTGAAAAAATACTACGTTTAACACAATTCTATGTGTTAAATATTAAACAAAATAATGATAATGTGTTTGTTTTGTTGTTTCAACTGAAAAATCACAATTCATTGCTCTTGCTCTTAGAGCGGCAGGGCATATATCAGTATGAAAAATCGTCAATACAGTTGATCCTTGTGTGACCCCTACAATAATTTACTTTGCCCAAAACTAATATAATGGTTATTCGGATATATGAAAATCATTTGATAGGTAAAATAAGAATAATATCATTCACTTTTGAATAAAAAAGCATTTTACAGTCAGATGTACCAAATTTTGACCATCATTGTTTTTAACCATACCCTAATGGACTATCTCTACATATCAATAACTAAATTCTGCGAAATTTGCTTTAAATTTTCATTTTTGGAAACACATCTGCTTATACCGATTCAATTCAGAACCATAATAGAAGGTAACTCTTTCATGAAAAACTTCGTCAACTTGACTGAAGATTACTGAGTGCAGTCATTAATATGACCTCGTATTTGGATAACCTCTCGATCTCCTCTGTTAAAATTGTACGAGTATATCAAATCAGCAAATTTTATTCAAACCATCATAAAACAGAAATGATCGACTGTTATTGTTAAAATGTCAATTGATAAAGTGTATTGCACTACGTGAATTGCAATGGAAAATTGATTTGACATATTAATCTAAACAAAACAATATTGGTCCATGTTTTCTTTTTAAGGAATTGTATCTTTTAAGCTTGGTTGTTTAGTTCAGGTGGTACAGCATCAGAATCTAGACTAGAAGGTCCCAGGTTTGGTTAGACAATTTTCCCATCCTCCCGCTATATTCTTGTTTATCTTTAATAATACTAGCAATCTATTGTTCGAGTGGGTCACATCAGCCCAACATGGCCGTAAAAATAAATTCTAATACCTAGATATTGACTTTTGACCTCAAGTCGCCTAATAATGGGTCACCAAGGGCTACTTCGTCCCCTGAGTGCCTTTAAAGGCCAAATACCTAGATATACCTTATAATGTTTTTGAACCATAGGTATTGAATTTACCTCCATGTCACATTAACATGAGTTGCAAAGGGCCACAGCAGCCCCCAGGGGCTCAAAACTCCAAATACTGAGATATTGACCTTGTAGGAATGACCTTGACCTCAGGACACATATTCATGGGTCCTCACGCGAAGCAGCATCCCCAAAAGACCAAATATTTAGATAGATTTAGATCTATGACCTTGAGATGACCTTGACCCTAAACAATGACATTGACCGTAGGTCACTTTATCATTGGTGATCAAATGCTACTGTAGACCCAAGGTAGCCAACTACCGAGAAATTACCTTGAAATTAGGTCTCCTCATCATTGGTCGCCAAATGTCACAATTGTTCTCAATTGCCTCAAAACGTCAAATTGCTAGATATTGACCTTTGACCTTTAAATTACCTTGACCAATTCAGACCTTGACCTCAGGTCACCTTATCATTGGTTATGAAGGGTCAAATCATCAGGCAAGTGTTTTAAAAAGCCAACTAACTAAATATTGATATTTTTCCTAGAAATGACCTTGACATTTCTAGAATTCACATTTTATGAACAAAAATGAAACATACAAAGTTGAAAACTGACCTTTTTGGAAATAAAATTGCTGCATATGTTTCAAAATGTAGGTATGAGTGCAGGAGCTGCTACAGGTATCACTCTGACATACATCTGTGAACAAATCAAAGTTGATGTGATGCAAATCGGCATCTTTTAATTTGACGTCCAAGCAGAATGTTGGACAAAATGGCTAATTGTTAGATAAACCATCAACACTGGAATTGTCATTTGTCATTGCATTTATAAAGTAATTCCTGCCTCATCACTGTTACACCTATTACAACAAGACGTTGCCTCGTCTAGATCACTGTCTGCTAGCTAAAAATATCAAATTCACTGTTTGCTTTATCACAATAAACTTTTTTTACAAATAAGTACAGTAAAACATGCAAATAGAAGGCCCATTTGATATTAATATGTAAAGATAGTCCACTTTGGTGTGGTAATTTTACTGCAACAACTATAATGCCTTTTTATTCAAAAGTCAATCATTTTATTACTATTTTACCTATGAAATGATTTTAACATATCCGAATAATCATTATATTAGTTTTAGGCAAAGTAAATTATTGTAGGGGTCACACAAGGATCAACTGTATTGACGATTTTTCATACTGGTATATGCCCTGCCGCTCTAAGAGCAAGAGCAATGAATTGTGATTTTTCAGTTGAAACAACAAAACAAATACATTATCATTATTTTGTTTAATATTTAACACATAGAATTGTGTTAAACGTAGTATTTTTACAAAACATCACTAGATATGAAAAAGTTGTAAATAAAGTTGATCCTTGTGTGAGCCCTATAATTATTTACTTTGCCAAAAACTAATATAATGGTAATTGTAATACTTATAAAACATTGAATAGGTAAAATAGGAATATTATTATTAACAAAGGTCACTTTTGCATTAAAATGGCGTTTTAAGGTCAGAAATATATAATTCTTCACCGTTATTGTTTTTAATAAAAAAGACCACACCTAAATGGACTATCATAAATATCAATATCAAATTTGCCTCCTATTTTATATCCTCGCTGCTATTATTTGAAAAAAATAATTTTTTTCAAACTCATCTTTTTGACGGTTGCACCTTGGGGCAAGCCGTTTAGCCCTTTCGTGTCACCTTTTTGACTGCAGACAAGTGAAAACGAATAGTCAATGAACCAAACTATAATGCCTTTGGGCCGCTTCTTAGTAATCTACCTCAACATCGGTTTAGACTAACTAAGCCACTTTGGAAGCGATTTGGCGCATACTAAATACTTGACATCAAAGACAAACTATATCAATATGCCGGAATGGAAAAATCAAGTGTAAATAGTTTAATGAATTATGAATACAAAAAGTTTGAAACATATCCTCCAAATCATTGTTTACTTTCTTTGTATATACAGGGTGTCTCAAAGAAATCCCAATGTCTATTCAAAGTTGTTTTAACATGAGTGTCCTCCAACATGGCCCACATTCCTTTCAATGCAAATGTCTGCTCTAGATCTCATCGCACATCCCTGGTGATGTCTCTCTGTCCTCTTAGATCCTCTACAATCCCGGCCCTTAGATCATCAACGTCTCTTGGTGATGTTGTGTAGACTTTATCATTGAGATAACTCAAAAGGAAGAAGTTGCAGGGTGCAAATCATCCTGGCATAGCCACTTTAATCCCTCATTGTTCAGTCATGAAATGAATGAAAGAAAAAGTGGCAAAACCCCATTTCTGGCATGGTCACTTAAATCCCTGAGAACTCAGTCATATATGAAGGAGGATGGACAACTGTGGTATCATAAGACAGAAGACATCATACCCTATCAGATGGAAGCTTTGAAATCTTATTATTATTATTCATATATGACAAATAAGCAATTAAATCTCGGTTTCCCTTTTTGAGACACCATGTACAGGGTGGTCCAAAAAAAGTGAAACCCTGCAACAGGCTATATTTCCTTAATACATGCATAGATTTGCTCATATTATCACATCTTGTAGAGAAAGGTCTAAAATTTTTGTTGACACCATAATTTATTCTCAGTCTTGAATTTCGAAGAAATTACAAGAGTTAAACAAACATGCCTCAAATTAGATTTTGTGCAAAATTTTACCGATGTGATTGACGGAAATTGTTGATACACATTAGTTGATCTTAAAAAAGCTTTCAGTGAGAGATTATAAGTTTAAAACCTACCATATGACAAATGGGACACTATTTGAGCAGAAAACACATTTCACACTTTTATTGATCGACCATTTTGAAGCTGTTTTAACCATTCAACAGTTTAGGGGCATGTTACCTACACAAACGGGTAGAGCGGGGTAAAGTTACCCCTTGTGACCCAAAATCTGAGAAGCCCTTCATATAAAATCTTACAAAAATCAAAAGGAAATCTAATATTCAGTGTTTTGAGCCATATTTCATTAGAATTGGTCCATGATTAATGAAGATATTGACATTTTAAGACCATATTATAGGGTTATATTGCGATTTCACTGGAAGATATTCTCGTCTTTGGAAACATTGAACATTTCTTTTGATCACAATTACTTTGCAACTAACAGAGGTAGGATGGTAATTTTTACATCATATTGCGTGGGATTCAAAACCAAACAAAGTCAGAAAACATGAGGTTTCCCAGACTCTGGCTTAAAATATTTCCATGTGAAGATTGTTGAAGGGTTGAAGAATCGCAGATATTGAAGTTCACATTTTACCCATTTTCAGTGATGTTTCGTTAGGGCTTATAATTTCTGCAAATTTCAATACTAAGAAAAATGTATAGTACCAACAAAAATTTTAGACCTTCCTCTACAACATGTGAAATTATGAAAGGATTCCTGCAGCTAATAAGGGAAATATAGCCGGTTGCAAGGGTTCACTTTTTTGGACCACCCTGTATATTGAATGATATTTCTTGAGAAGTAAATTGTTGTTTATATGGGAAATCATGGGATGATAGATAACGGCTATCTGTTTTTGCTAGGATACTTATTATATGACTCGCAGCAGGGGGTTAATTATTGATCGAAACTTTATATAGATTTAAGTGACGGACCACAATGGCATATTCCCCGACTCATCCTTTACCTCGTCTAATTGGTTTTGATATTCATAATAATATTTTGTTTTTTCTCTATAATCTAGACATGTCGGGGACTTAGGCAACATAATCGAAGATCAAGATGGATTAGCTAGTGGATTTTTTGTTGATAGTCTTGTCTCATTGACTGGTCCATTCAGCATCATGGGGCGAAGTCTTGTGGTAGGTATGAAAACCGTTGAAGACAGAACGATCTGATGACTATATGAATGATTCACTATTTGGTGTTAAGTGGTAACAATTTACACTTGATGTTACAGGTTCATGTTAATGAAGATGATTTGGGACTCGGAGGGAATCCTGGAAGTTTAGTAACTGGGAACGCAGGTGGTCGACTTGCATGCTGCGTAATATTTGCCAGCGATGGGCACTTCTACCTGAAGCCGCGATGGGGCCGGTGATAAAAAATTGATACAGATATGCTTATGAGTATTGCAGAAGATAGGAAAAAAGATGAACCTAAATATTCGATCATCTTTGAGTTTTGGTTCATTTCCTCCACTCGAGCTCCAAAATGTATTTTTACATACAAGGGGCGATCAACAAATAACGCAAATAGAGCCCTATCTCAGACACTAATTTGAGTTAGAACACTAAACTTGATATATACAGGGTGGGCAAACAAAAATTGGAACATTTTTCTATTTACTCAATTTTCTTTATTATTACAGTTCAGACAACAAAAATTCAGATAATGGTAAAATGATTATTTGTGAAAATGTTAAGATAAAAATATGTACAGTATGTATGATTATTTTTGGCTTGTCATGGTCTTGATCTGTATACTGCGTGCGTCATGAAAATTTTCCAAATTTTCTCTGCTTGAGACATCATTGCATAAAATACAGCAACGTTTACAGTTACCATAGTTACAGTTACCCTAGTAACCCGAGGTATATGAAGCAGGTCTTACATATTAAGTAACAATAAGGATTTAGCATACGACAACCTAAGTCAAGGGCACCTGAAGTACCTAAAATATATGATGTCACAATTTTTAATAACCATTTTCATGCTCATAACTAATGCCCAGTTCATGCTTAAATAGTGACAGTTTTATCAACCATAACCAGTTGCTCTACTTCTTTAATTATCTCTGCTGTGCGTGTTGTTTTTGGAACATCTGTACGGAAGCATCCTCTGCGGATCGTCGGCTTTTCAGAAATCGTTCTGTACTGTACCATCTGTAGACATTGTTTCGTCCATTTTCATCACCAAATGACATCTTTAGTATCTCTAAGTTTTTTTACAGTGACTGTCTTCTATGGAGATCTGAAGTATTCAATTCAACCATTTTTCAGTATAACTGATTTGACTTATTTGACTGATTACCTCAATGCCTGTGTCTTCTGTCATCCTATCGTTGGGTATCGACATGTTTTATGACAAACCTATTGTTGGGTAATGCCATCACGATTAGATCACAAGTAGATCACATTAATTAACAGATACTTTTCAGAATTGATTTTCACCCAAATAACATCAAATCTGTATATGACTTAATGGTGTCTTTCAGACTCATTTTGAACAGCGATCAATACCTTATTGTTATGATTCACCACCTGCTTCAGGTGCCCAACCACGGGTTGTTATGGCAACCGTAACTCCGACATCAATTAATATTTGTGCCTCAGATTTTGTGAAAATGATAATAAATGTTTGGTGATACGATGTATCAAATTTGCTCTAACTCCAATTCATAGTTTTTGAGATAGGGCTCTATTTGTGTTGTTTGTTGATCGCCCCTCGTACTATGTGTTTAGTTTATATCGACAAAGAACTACACAACAGAACGTTTACAATATTACAATTTATTACATACTGTATTCGAAAACACACAAATAACCTACAAATAAACATGTTTGGCATGGGGAATACATCCACCAGGGTATTAGCGACAGACGAACCCGTTTGCGAGGTGAAGACAATATAATTTCTCCTCGTGATAAGGCTAAAGCCAGTATTCTCTATACGTTATATGTAATGAATAAGATATAATAGAGAGATTTCGCACATAAGTGAAAGTACAACTTATACGTATACGTATACGTATAGTTTAAAGTGCCTGATAAACTATAAAATGCGCATGCGTCCAGGTGTTGATAAACTATAAATAGCGAAAACCCAGGGTTTGTCATCACAAGCGGTAATGCCTGGGTCACATATGCTCCGATCCATCGGCAGGCGCCCGCCCGATTGAGTGTTTTGTTCAATATTGTATTCAATTTTGAACAAAATACTCAATCGGCCGGGCGCCGTAGTGAAAATCGGAGCATATGTGACCAAGGCATAAGCCAGGACGTGTTGAGCGAACATCTAGTGTTGATATTGAATTTACATGTAGCCAGATAAGTTTCCTTATTGGAATTACATATAGTTATTAGCAATACTTTGCAGGTGATATTTAATAAAATATGGGTATATATGAGAGAAATTGGCCATTTCGAACCTGTTGAAAGTTTGTGGCTCTCGGCTACACCGGGGAATTTACTTCCATGAGTACAGACACAAATGTGGGGCTCCCCAAGAGGTACGCGAGAAGGTGACCTGGCATCAAATGTACGACTAAATGCTTCTATCGAGTAGACAAAAGAACGAATACGACAATAAGTTATTGCAAACGACAATTCCGAGCTTTCATCTCACTGAAGTATTTTGAAGTGAAGAAAATATGATTTTTGTTTTGAAACATGGATTCAGATGAACGTAACTTCATTCTGACAACTATTCAAAACTGAACAAAATTGATTATACGTAACAGACGATTTATTGTTTTACAATGTTTTGATCGGCTAAACGAATGAAACCAAGAAATTATGACATGTAAATGGCAGTTTTGAAAAGTAAAATTTAAAAGTGACAAACACAACCTCCCTATCCACTCTTTATGAGCCCTAATATGTACATGCAGCAGTGGTAGTGTACAGCTTATTATCACACTACTGGGCTTTGTATTCTAAAGTTTGTTGTTTTTATAACAACACTGTTCACTCGACGTAAATGTTTTGTGTGTGCGCAGTCAACGATAATCATTGTTTTATCCCGGTTATATGACCTCGGCAATTATAACAAAACCGTACTAAACGAAAAAAACGCAAATAAGAGAAAGCTTTCACACACATATAAAAAATGAACTAGTCTAATCCGCCAGTATAAACTCTGTTATATACGTAGCCAGGTCGGACGCACACTTTAAAGGGTCATGTCGAACTATTATATTTACTAAAATCAATTTTAAATTGTACTTAATGGAACATAACTATTCCCGTTATAGAAAAGCTCCATCAACTAGAGACTGTGAATGCACTGTCATCTGTACGTGTAGATTATGCACATTTTAATTAAATGCTTGCTTCCGTGTCCTTGTAGTTGTAGTGTATTATAAACACGATCCTTTAAAGTGAGTCATGATTCTTTAAAGTGAGTCATTACATAAACAAGTTGATTATTTCAATGTTTTCATGATCAGTATAAGTTCAATGAACTTTCAAAACGGTATTTACGTAGATGATAACGTATACAGTTGGATCTCCGTATAAAGATTTGCCTACATGTACATGTGTGTGGAACAATTGACCGCAAGCATTTTTTGAAATTAATTGGCTGAGTGGGAACAGTATCCAATCAAATACTTTAACCATCAATTTGAAACACCAATCAAACCAGTAGGTTCTAGCAATTCCTGGAAACGACCCATTCAGTAGCTCAACATATGACATACAGGGTGTTTCATAACGAGCATCTCCAAAAGTCAATTTGAGAAGAGATGGGTCTATAAATCATGTACTAATATATGAGCCTATTTTATTCTAGACAAACACATTTGGATCAACTAAACATGCTACAATTCAAGAAAGTACAAATGGCATCCCTTTGACCTGTATGTATTACAGTCCGAGAAGACCTTTCCTGACGAAAAGCCCACATTATGAAACACCTTGTACGTTTACCTATAAGTATAAGTATACGTTATAAGTTGTACTTTCACTAGGTGCGAAATCTCTCTATTGAATCATATAATAAACGGTTAAAGTGTTTATTGTACGGTATATATAAATGATTGCGACTCCGTTGAATAAACTTCATCATAGCATAAGGAAATGAA